TGTTTTTATACGACATATATACTCGTAGATGCACACCAACACACACACGACACGAAGACAAAGATCCCCCGTATAGCCTTAAAAGACTGTTGGGACAAGTGCTGTTAGCGAGCATTAACGCCAAGATATGCACACGAGGTGATGGGTGGCAAACGCACCACGCCCGACCGCCTTTGTTTCCCCAATGCTGATGTTTACCCGCAGCACCCAATACTCATTTAAGGCTGAGTCAACCTAGAGGAGGCCTAGGAACAATTAAAATCGTCGCCACTGATGTTGGTGACCAAGAGTGAGAATTTAACATCGCTTCGCCCGTTTCGAAGCGCAGTGCGCTAACCACTACACCACCGCTCCGCACATATATATAATGCGCTCACATGTACACACACACATTGGTTCGTGTGTAGCCATGCACAACTCTTACAGACTACAGAGGCAAGTGCTGTCGACTTATGGAAGCTCGCAATGAGGCTGGTCTAGCCAGCATTTTGCCCACCAGCCCGCCGTTGTGTAGGCATTCAAGGCTGAGTCAGCCTAGCGGAGGCCCAGAACGGCTTCGTTTATCTGCCGTTTGCCACGGCTGGGAATCGAACTCAGGTGACCGGTTTCATCATTGCAGTGCGCTGCTAACCACTACTCCGCTAACTCTCCGCAAATAAAAAGATCCCCGTATAGCCTTGAACAGGCGTGTTGGGGCAAAAGCTCTTAGCGAGTCGCACCGAGGGGGTGGTGTGGAACAGCACCACGCCCGGCCGCCTTTGTCTCCCCAGTGCTGATGTTTACACATGTGCAAATATACATACACAAACAATGTGGATGTTATACAGCGTACACCATCAACAACTACACACACACACTCAATAAATCAACACACACTAAACGACACAATAACTCACACATACTCAATAACAAAGACAAAGATCCCCCGTGTAGCCTAAACAGACTGTTGGGGCAAGTGATGTTAGCGAACAACCTTTGAAGGCCGCCACGGCACACGAGGGGTGGGTGGCCAGAACCATGCCCGACCGCCTTTGTCTCCCCAGTGGCGATGTTTACACATCGCACCAGCTACTTGTATAAGGATGAGTCGACCTAGGGGAGGCCCAGTACCGTGTCAGACATTCGCCACTGATGTTTGGCGATGAACGGGAATCGAACTCGTGTCGCCGGGTTCGTAGCGCAGCGCTAGCCTCACACACAGACTCAACAACTCCACACATACACACTCAACAACTCCACACACACACTCAATAACTCCACACACACACACTCAACAACTCCACACACACACCAAACAACTCCACACACACACAGCACGAGTGTTACGCTAATGGATGGCTGTTGTGTTGTGAGCTACGGCTGGCTGCAAGAACGTTATGGGATGAAAATGCGAGCAATAGCGGAATTTCTCACTCATCCATTTATTAATTTCGCTTATTTCCTCGCTCTCTCTCCGTTTCATTCACTCACTCAGACCCTCGCTCGCTCGCTCACTCATTCAGTGGGTCATTCCCACAGTCGCATATTCACTCGCTGTCGTTCGCTCGATCTATCCCTCCACCTGCTCATTCACTCGCACACTCCTTCATTCACCGACGTATCCACTCAGTCGCCTATTCACTCTCTCGCTCGTTCGCTTGATCGGGCTCTCACTCACTCTTCCGCTCGCTCGCCCACTGCGTCACCCACTCTATCGTACGCAGTTCATCCGCTCGCTCGCTCATCCGCTCTCGCTCGTTTGCTCTCATTGACTCGCTCGCTCACGAGTTTCATTCATTCGCTCAACGTATTCGTTCACTCACGAGAGCGCTCGCTCGCTCACTCTGTCGCCGTCAATCACCGTGCGCTACCCACTGCGCCGACGTTCCACCCTCCCCCCCCCGTCTGCACGAGCACACGCAACTTTGCGCATCTTACGCAAGGAAATAATCTCACGCGCGATGGACTCATCGTGAACCCGAGTGGCAAATGGAGACGCTACCCCCGTGTTCGAGAAGGGCTATAGGAAGCCGAGTGACCGATGGACGTCGCGATAATGTTCGCGAACGGGGCACGCGTCAAGCTCGTTCATTGGCTGTGTCGGGTGGAGGAGGGATTTACGACGCACATTTTTAGTAGACGATCTGACCCCCCGCCCCCCCCCCCCCACTTGGGCCCCAGAGAAATTAGGGCATCGAGATCGATTGACATCACTCAGAGCGCACGTTCATCCTAAAGCTCGGCGCCTGGCCAAGGCTCGTGCTGTATACACGCGTAAAGCCCTTGTGTTCGTCCACTACTAGATGACAGCCGTACCCTCTCCGTCATGTATCTGTGTGTGTGTCTGTGCGTGTGTGTTAAGACGTATGGGGAGCGGTGGTGTAGCGGTTAGCGCGCTGCGCTATGAACCCGGCGACACGAGTTCGATTCCCGCACACGGCCAACACCCAGTGACGATTTTTTTAACCGGTCCCGGGCCTCCCCTAGGTCGACTCAGCCGCAAATGAGTATCTGGTGCGATGTGTAAACATCGCCACTTGGGAGACAAAGGCGGTCGGGCGGGTTGCTGGTCACCCACCCAATCATAGGTGCTACTCGCAAACAGCTTCTTCCCCAACAGTCTGCTAAGGCTATACGGAGGATCTTTATGCGTGCGCGTTAATGTGCATGTAATGTTCTGCACGCCTGTACATTGCACGCAGTAAATATCCGTCGGGCTCGTGCTGAACGAATGTACACGCGACCAACACCACCAACCAATTCGTCTCCCGCGGAGTGACACGCTAGAGCCGATAAAAAGCAAAGTGAAGCTGGCCACTGACTACTATTGCACATTTAACAGGCCTATTATGTATAAATGTGGTGTGGTTTTTTTGCTTACATTTGAACGCCAACACATTCTTAACATGTTTATAACGCCGCTGGTGTTTACAATAGTCCCCTGTAGTCCGTAATGACGTGTTTGGGTTTATTTATTTTTTATACACGCAAATTAACTTGAGCCGATAATTATCGTACGCGCCGGAATATAAGACGCACCGAAAAGTAAGACGCACGCAAACCTACACCGGTTTATAAGACGCATCACCCTCACTTGCAGTACAGGGGCCATATACGGGTGGGGGGCAGCGAATCTTCTAATGCGGTGATGGCGGTAACGTTTTGTTATTTCATTCAGTAACTTACTGCAAGAAGTCTGTACGTAGCAATGCATTTGCTACGTCATCATGTTTCGTGGGGAGAGATGGGGGGAGCGGTGGCGCAGCGGTTAGCGCACTGCAACGTGCATCGACCGCGGGCGACAAGTTGGATTCCCGACCACGGCTAACATCAGTGAGTGACCAGCGTGGTGAAGTATGGTCAAACAACTTCCCATGACCGGTACGGCATCGAGAGGTTTTCATCCAGCAATGGATTGACAAAGGGTCGTTAATTCATTATTATCATCACTATTTAAAAACAACTGTATTGAAATACGAATATTTAATATTTGTCATATATTGCGGTAAGTTATGTGAAAATGTGATCTGTTTTTAACATCATCATTTGAACGTGTTCATCACTTATATTAGCATACATATGAATGAGGAGTAGCAGGTAGTGTGTAAATCTATGGGGTAACTCTATGCATCAGCCAGTCGTCTCAGTCAGTCGACCTGTGGCATCTGCTGGGTCTGCCCCGTGACCTCCTGCCAGCGGGCGTTCGACACTTCACGTGGCCTCAAGGTGCACCTAGCCTGGCACAAACGTCGTGGTGACGTCACCGCCACTTCGTGGCGAATGGCGGTTGTTGTTGTTGTTGATGGGGAGCAGTCGTGCAGCGGTTAGCGCTACGCTGCGTTACGAACCCAGCCACCCGAGTTCGATGCCCTGTTCACGGCCACCACCAGTGACGATTACCTGAACCGGACCTGGGCCTCCACTAGGTCGACTCAGCCTCAAATGAGTACCTGGTGCCGTGTGTTAAACATTGGCCATCCACCCCTCGCCATTGGGGCAAGCGCTCGCAAAGAAGCACTTGCCTCAATGGCGATTGGGGAAACAAAGGCGGTCGGGCGTGGTGCTGGCCACCCACCCCCTAGTGTGCCGTGCGTGCCGACCTTCATAGGTGCTCGCTAGCAACATTTTCTCCAAGAACCTATGATGCCTATACGGTAGATCGATCTTTGTCTTTGTACGTCGTAAATGCAGGCTCCGATTGAGACGGAAAAAAATAACCCGTAAAAACAAAGTTTTTCAATATAAATTCTTTATATGCGTGTCCAATGGGCCACAACCCAGCCCACATTGGTCTTTGAAACGGGCGGCTAGAGTCCTCTCGTCCTCTGGCTTGAGATGGCTGCCACCTATGGGTCAGATGATTGCCTGCCACCATTAAGCAATTGGTAAATAAATAAATAAATTGCCTAAAAAGTGTAACATTTTGGAAAAAAATTTCACGAAAAGAAATTGTCACGCACAACGAGTCTGTGTGCAAAATGTCAGCTCGATTGGATCACGGGAAGTGGGATAAAAAACGACCGAAAGATTTGCACGGTCGTAAGCGCGCAAGCAAGCAAGTGAACTTAATATAAAGGATTAAAAAATCAGCGCGTTCCTCAATAACGCCGTTTGTTTAGACCTTAAAAGATATACAATAGGCGACGTTTCGGGCAATGGCTCTTCTTCAAAGCACAAATTGACTAAAGGGCGGGCATTGTAGCGTCGAGCTGGCACGACTATTGGTCGCTTAAGTGAACCAATCGACTGAAATAATCATCGACTACTTTATTCGTGGTCGATTACTCGGGCAGCTTCCAACGCGACGTCAGGCCCCACATCCTCCCGAAGGCGGGAAACCCCTTACAAGCCACACCCAGCGCGACGCGGCTGATGCCATTGACGCGACCGAGTCATACTATCACCTCCCGTCCAGCGGCACACGTGGGGGGGGGGGGGGTGGCGGGGGAGATGTGAGACTTTTTCTACAGCAACCTTCGTGGTATCCGATGAGTCGAGTATACTAATCGGCCAAATTCGCGAATACAGAACAACCGCTATATTACCTTTCTGTCGCCTCCGTGTCTACCCCATCCCCTACCCTGCACCTTCCCCACCACCCCCACTGGGTGCATCGCAGGGCACGGCGGGGTCAATCAGCTGGGCGGGGTGTTCGTGAACGGGAGACCGCTGCCGGACGTGGTCCGGCAAAGAATCGTGGAGTTGGCGCACAGCGGGGTGCGACCGTGCGACATCTCGCGCCAGCTGCGCGTGTCGCACGGGTGCGTCTCCAAGATCCTCGGCAGGTCGGCGGACGGACGGACGGACGATGCGGGTGGAGGGTGGGTGGGTGGGCACAGTGGCAGAGGTGTGGGCACAGTGGCATAGGTGTGGGCAGAGGTGTGGGCACAGTGGCAGAGGTGTGCGCAGAGGTGTGAGTAGAGGTATGAGTAGAGGTGTGGGCAGAGTGGCAGAGGTGTGGGTAGAGGTGTGCGCAGAGGTGTGAGTAGAGGTGTGGGCAGAGGTGTGAGCAGAGTGGCACAGGTGTGGGCAGAGGTGTGGGACGAGTGGCAGAGGTGTGAGTAGAGGTGTGGGCAGAGTGGCAGAGGTGTGTGCCGAGTGCAGGAGAGGCGGGCGGAGAGTTGTTGGCGCAGTGGCTTACAGGTGGGCGGAGTGGTGGAAGAACGGGCGTAGTTGTGCGGGGGGGGGAGGTGAACGGTGCGTGGAGTGGGAGGGATGTGAGCAGTGTGTATGTGTACGCTGGACTTCTTTCGCACCGTACGTAGCCAACCGTGCTACTCGGAGGTGCCGGGGGTTGGAGTTTGGCGGAATAGCGGGGCGGGCGGGCGTGCGGACAGATGGACGTGTGGACAAACTTGGTGGGCTGATGAGCGGGCAGAGAGGAAGACGAACGGGCGGGCGGGTGGGCGGACAATTGGACGGTGCGAGTGGACAGCCGGACGGTCGGACGCGTGGGGAACGCGATGTGAACTGATGGACGGGTGGAAGGAGAGGGGTCGGCGAGAATGCGTGTGGGCGGACAAGAGTAAACAGGCCGGCGGGCGGGCGGGCAGACTGGTGGAGAGAGAGATAGAGAGATGGGTGGGGGGCAGAAACGAATGTTGGGATGGGCGACGAGAGAATAGGCGGACGGACAAGACGAGCGGCGGGGGTTGAGCGAGGGCGGTGGCCTGCTGATGAGGATCAGACGAGTCGAAATCGGTCTCGAGTTTGCAGATGAAGCAGGGAGTTTGCAGATGAAGCAGGGAGCAGAGAGACGACATTCCAGACGCGGAAGCAGCAGCAGAGAAGGAGCGACCTCCCTTTGAGCAGACGCTGTTTCGATGGAAATGACGACGATGATGATGATGGCGCTGATTCTGATGATGTTACTCCAACTGCTTGCTGTTGTTGCTGCTCTATTACTGCTGCTTTGTGTTTGTGGAAGTTCTTTCGCACCGTACATAGGTAACCGTGCTAATCGGGGATGTGGGGGAAGGACAACAAACTAAACACAAAAAGCAGTTCTCCAGACATGAGTTTCAATCCAAGCTATAGCCATTATCGCTGTTACTGATTCTGCTGCTGCTGTTACTGCTGGTATAACTTAGCTTGCTGCTACAACTACGGCTGCTGCTCAGGGTACAAGTGCTGCTGCTACAACAGATAGTGCTACTATGGCTTCTGCCACTGCCTATGTTACTCCGACTGCATCACCAGTGTCTATTTCAACAAGAAAAGTCTGGAACCCTGTATTTATTTGGATTTACACACCCCATCTCTGGTTTTAATATAAACTAAGTTCAACTATGAACTATTTTTAAAATTTACCGGGTCGGCCTACTAAGCTATATAACTCTTTTGCAGAATCGACCTGGTCACAAATGATAGCTGAACAAAGTGGCTTATCACGTGGACAATTAACGACGCAATTATATGTACGCGAACTAACCCAAAACTCTCTATTATCGAAATGCCTATCAGCCAAATAAATTGATTCTAAACGTGGAGGGAAAACCGGAGGACCCGGAGAAAAATGCAGAGAGAGACACCGCAAACTTCAAACATGCAGCACCGCGTCAGGGTCGGGATCAAACCGCCGACTTCCTGTACACCAGGCGAGGTAGTCAACATCTCTCCACCGTGGTAGGCACGGGGTAGTGGGGTTTGAGGGTGTGCACGACACCACTGTGCCCCCGTACAGCTGAAAGAGATGGAGCGAACAGCCAACAGCAGCAGCAGCAGTCACTTCAGCTACTGCTGCCGCTACCGATGATGACGCCGCCTGCGCGTGACCTGCCAGGTACTACGAGACGGGCAGCATCAAACCGGGCGTCATTGGCGGCTCCAAGCCCAAGGTGGCGACTCCCAAGGTGGTGGAGAAGATTGCCGAGTACAAGCGGCACAACCCCACCATGTTCGCCTGGGAGATCCGGGACCGCCTGCTCGCCGAGGCGGTCTGCGACCCCGACAGCGTTCCCAGCGTTTCATCCATTAACAGGTGCTCCTCGCAAGAGTCTATCCGCTGCTCCCCACAAAGACAGAGATTACTCTTTGGTTCTTTCGGTAAAGTCACGTATAAAGATAAAATAATAAATTAAATAATAGCATACGAGGGGTTAGAGAAAACATTTCTAACCCCTCCCTCTCTCCGCCCCCGCCCCCCTCTGTCTATTTAAGGCCTCGCCACAGAGACGATCTCCCTCTCTGTGCATGTGTTACTCTCTCTCTCTCTATGTATCTTGGTGATATCTGTCTGCTTATATGTCTGTCTATAGTTTTATGGCTAGATTTTTGTTGCTCTTTCATTTATACCTGATGATGATTGCTTGTGTTGCAATCGAAACGTCGTATGCTATTATTTAATTTATTATTTTATCTTTATACGTGACTTTACCGAAAGAACCAAAGAGTAATTCCTGCAGTCACGAAAGCTCCAAATTTAAGAGAGACAGAGATCCCACACCACCACCCCAAGCCCCGTGTAGCATTAAGAGACCATGGCGGGCAAGTACTGTTAGCGAGTATGTGTGTATGTACGGTATTACGGAGAACTTCTTTCACGCGGTAGGTCGCCAACCGGTTCAGATAATCGTCACTGCCGGTGTTGTTGACTGTGAGCGGGAATGGAACTCGGGTGTCTGGCGGGTTCGTAGCGCAGTGCCGCTAATCATTGCGCCACCGATCCCGCGTGCTGACCTGTTGATGGCTGTGAGTGACGTGGGTGAGTGGGGTCATGATTGACTCAGCCTCAAGCGAGTAGCTGGTGCGGTGTGTAAACATCGCCACTGGGGGAGGCAAAGGTGGCCGGGCGTGGTGTTCCATGCTGGCCTCCATTAGGTGCTCGCTAACAGCACTTGCCCCAACAGTCTGTAAAGTCTAAACGGTGGCTCTTTGTCTTTGGTTCAGGGTTATAGTTACGTGGCAAGGTAGCGAGGTGGTGTAACCTCGCGTCTTCCAGCATGAAGGGGCCTGGGGTTCATTCCTGACTCGGGTGCCATTCTGCGTGGATTCCTACTCTTAGGTTTTTTTCGGTAAAGTCACGTAGGTAAAAAATAAAAAAATAAATAACAATCGGAGGTGCAAATCACAAGTGATGCAGTAAATTTAGCTGTGACGGTTCCCACCTGATGACGGACACTTGTGTTGCCTCCGAAACGTCGTGATTTATTATTTTATTTCTATTGTTTTTTATTATTTTTTTTCTTTTTTACCTACGTGACTTTACCGAAAAAACCGAAGAGTATGAATCTATGCAGTCATGAAAGCTTCAAATCTAGAATTCTGCGTGGAGTCTGTGTGCTGTATCCCTGCTTTGTGTGTTCTTCTGCTGTAGAATGTACCACCTGGAGTCAGCCAAAGCATTCAAATTCTTAAAGTTGACCTTCAAATTAATCTATTGTAATTTGCAACTCCGATTAGCACGGTTGGCTACGTATGGTGCGAAATAAGTTCTACATACGTACACACATTCATTGAAACGTCGCACCCTCCTGCAAAAAAACTTGGCAATACCCTCCTGAGAATACGAGTCGATGAGACTTACTGAGGCTTTCCTGGGTTAACAAGCGAAGTAACAATAATACAACAATAATCAGCCGTGGTCTATTCACTGCTGGATGAAGGTCTTAACCCATGTCGAACCCAACCACACAGTTTTGACAGTGAGACTCCATAAGTCAGAAGAGGCATAGCCTGAGATTTGCCACGTTTTGCAAGCCATGGTCGGAATGAGACGCGGGTTCTCTATTGGATGAGATGAAGCTTGTCTATTGGATGAGATGCAAGTTCTCTATTGGATGACACGAGGCTTTTCTATTGGATGAGACGAGGCTCCTCTGTTCGATGAGACGAGGCTTCCCTATTGGATGAGACGCGGCTTCTCTATTGGATGAGACTGGAGTGTGTCCCACGTGACACGCCAAGCAATTAACGCTGTCAAGTCGAACAAGTGTACACGCACACGTACAGCACGTGTGCGTGTACACGTGCTGTATGTGTGTACACATTACACGTGGAATACAACTTTACCGCCATTTGCCACTAAGTGACGGTAACGTCACCACGGCGCCTGTGCCAGTCCAGGTGCACTTTGAGGCCAAGTGAAGCGTCGAAGGCTCGCTGATAGGAAGGTCACGGGACAAACCCAGGTGACATGGGTTGGCTCACTGAGATAACCGATAGATGCACCAGCTGGGCCCGTGCTGTGTTTTATCCACCCCGTGCTCCACACTTTCTTGTGAGCATCGCTCCTCTGCCCTCCGTTGTTGTTGGAGGAGCGACTGCCTGCCCAGTAGCAGCGTCCTTCACGAGCCTCCACACACACACACACAGCTATCTCAGAATCTTTATGAATTTAAACATGATCTCGGGTAACCGCGCACAATAGACCTGCGTCAGCCCGCTATCTCAACCCGAACCTACGATACGAAAGTGGATTTCCACGTGCCGGACGTGCTCGCCAACCCGGGGCGCGCGCACAAGGCCCCGTCTTGTTCGTCGCGTTTGCCAATCGGCAGATGAGCCCCGTGGTGTCGGTAGCACCGATTTACATGTGAAAGGGTAAATACAGCGAGAGGAAGGAAGATGAACCCCGTAAGGCGAGATGAAGGAGTCTGGGCTGTAGCTTAAGACGCCCCCCGCCCGCTCGCTCGCCCGCCGATACCGGCCAAAAGACAAAGATCCTCTCGTATAGCCTCACAGACTGTTGGGGCAAGTGCTGTTAGCGAGTAGCACCTATGAATGTTGTGGTTTCACGCTTCAACACACCGGTGGGCTAAAGCAGTGAACTAATTGTCTTTTGTCAACGTGACACTTTTTTACTGATTGGCCGTGTCGGGTGGTGGAGGGTTACGACACATTTATAAGTAACGCGATCTAAACCCAAAAACGTTGATTTATGAGCACCTATGAAGGCCGGCACGCGGCATACGAGGAGGTGGGTGGTCAGCACCACGCCCGGCCGACTTTGTCTCGATCTGTAAGCATCGCCACTAGGGAGATAAAGACGGCCGGGCGTGATGCTGGTCACCCACCCCCTCGTGTGTCCTGTCGGTCGTCATAGAGTAGGTGCTCGCTAACAGCACCTGCCCCAATAATCTGTTTAGGTCCTATATTTGAAGCTTTCGCGACTGCAAGGATTCATACTCTCAGGTTTTTTCGGTAAAGTCACGTAGGTAAAAAAATAAAATTAAAAGTTAATAACAGTAATTTTATTTCCATTATTACTTTTATTAACTTTTAATTTTATTTTTTACCTACGTGACTTTACCGAAAAAAAAACCTGAGAGTATGAATCTGTTGAGGCTATACGGGTGGTCTTTGTGACCTTGTGCCTGTGTGTGTGTGTGAGTTAGCGTCTGTGTGTGTGAGTTAGCGTCTGTGTGTGTGTGAGTGAGTTAGTGTCTGTGTGTGTAAGTGTGTGTATGTGTGTGTTAGCGTCTGTGTGTCTGTGTGTGTGAGTTAGTGGCGGTGTATGTGAGTTTGTGTGTGTGTGTGTCTGTGTGTGTGAGTTAGTGTCTGTGTGTGTGAGTGAGTTAGTGTCTGTGTGTGTAAGTGTGTGTATGTGTGTGTTAGCGTCTATGTGTCTGTGTGTGTGAGTTAGTGGCGGTGTATGTGAGTTTGTGTGTGTGTGTGTGTGTGTGAGTTAGTGTCTGTGTGTGAGAGTGAGTTAGTGTCTGTGTGTGTAAGTGTGTGTATGTATGTCTTAGCGTCTGTGTGTCTGTGTGTGTGAGTTAGTGGCGGTGTATGTGAGTTTGTGTGTGTGAGTTAGCGTCTGTGTGTGTGTGTGAGTTAGTGTCTGTGTGTGTACGTGTCTGTGTGTGTGTGTTAGCGTCTGTGTGTCTGTGTGTGTGAGTTGGTGGCGGTGTATGTGAGTTTGTGTGTGTGAGTTAGCGTCTGTGTGTGTGTGTGTGTGAGTTAGTGTCTGTGTGTGTAAGTGTGTGTATGTGTGTGTTAGCGGCTGTGTGTACGTGTCTGTGTGTGTGAGTTAGTGGCGGTGTATGTGAGTTTGTGTGTGTGAGTTTGTGTCTGTGTGTAAGTGTGTCTTAGCGTCTGTGTGTACGGGTCTGCGAGTTAGTGGCGTCTGTGTGTGAGTTTGTGTGTGTGAGTTAGTGTCTGTGTGTGTAAGTGTGTGTATGTGTCAGTTAGTGTCTCTGTGTGTGAGTTATTGTCTGTGTGTGTACGTGTCTGTGTGTGTGAGATAGTGTGTGTGTGTGAGAATTAGTGACTGTGTGAGTTAGTGTATGTGTGTGAGTTAGTGTCTGTGTGTGTGAGTGGGTAAGTGTCTGTGTGTGTACGTGTCTGTGTGTGTGAGTTGATGTCTGTGTGTGTGTGAGTAAGTGTGTGTGAGTGAGTAAATATCTGTGTGTGTGAGTTAGTGACTGTGTGAGTTAGTGTATGGGTGTGTGAGTGAGTGTATGGGTGTGTGAGTGAGTGTCTATGTGTTTCTATATAAACCAGAACTGAATTTCATTGTAAACGCGGCGTTGAGTCACAATGTGCATCATGTGTTCGAGCGATGCCAGCGACTTTATTATCCACCAAACTTCGTTTGGCATAACTGCACTCGGACTAAAATCTCTCTCTCTCTGTATCTCGCTCTCTGTACCTCTCCCCCCATCTCTCTGTGTCTGCGTCTCTGTCTCGGTGTGTGTCTCTGTGTGTCTGTCTCGGTGTGTGTCTCTGTGTGTCTGCGGCCGGGCGCGGTGCTGGCATGCCGTGCCGGCCTTCATAGGTGCTCGCTAACAGTCTGTTAATGCTATATGAGGGATCTTTGTTTTCGTGGGGGAGTGCTGGTGTGGTGGTTAGCGCGCTGCGCTGCAAACCCGGTGACCTGAGTTTCGATTCCTGCTCACGGCCACCACCAGTGACGAATATCTGAAACGGTGCTTGGCTTTCCCTAGGTCGACTCAGCCTCAAATTAGTACCCGGTGCGGTGTGTCAACATTACCACTGGGAAGACAAAGGCAGCCGGGCGTGGTACTGGCCACACACCCCCTCGTGTACCGTTCTGGTCTTCATAGGTGCTCGCTAACAGCTTTTTTTGTTTTTGTTTCTCTTACGCGTGCATTATTCGTGCGTGTCTATGTATCTCCTCTCGAAGTCTTTGTCTCTCTCTCTCGCTGTGTGTCCTCTCTCTCTCCGCAGGCAACTCTCTCCCTAGCACTCTCACCAACCCACACCACCACCACCATAACTCCAGCAAATTTGCTTGTAATTTCCCGGCTTGCCGCAAACACGCGCGCACATAAATCTTTATATCCTTGCCGTATCGATCACGGCCAACGCTTCATTTATGGCTTGCAAGATTGGGGGGGGGTGGTGGTGGGGGAGGGAGAGGGAGGGGCTGATAGGGGTGCGGGCATGAGGGGGGGCATGAGGGAGGGGGGCACTGGGTGTAGGGGAGGGAGTGACAGGGCTGGTGGGGTTCGTGACAAGAAGATCCAAATAACAGCGCCTTCACGCACTCACAAACACCCTATAGCCTAACATCGACTGTCGGGGTCAAGTGCACGCCTATGTGACACATGCTGTTTGCGAGCACCTATTAAAGCCTGCAACTTTGTGGCGCGTTCTTCAACAATAACGCTTTAAATATGCGGGGCCCCACCGTGGCGAGATGTTAACTACCTCGTTTGGTACACAGTTAGTCGTGGGTTTGATCCCGACCCTGATGCCTGTTGTATGATTGGAGTTTGCGTCTCTTTCTCTCCCCGTGGTCTCGTGGATTTTTCTCCGGGTCCTTCCGGCGTTCCCTCGACATTGAGAGTCAACGTGTGTTTAGAGTGTCTGGCTGCTGTACATTTCCACGAGATAAACCACTTCGTTGGGCTATCATTTGTCGGCAGTTTACTTCTGAAAAAGAGCGATATGACAGCTCAGTGGGCCTTACCTAGCAAAATAAAATACAATTTTCATATCTTTAAATTTCGATTTAAAGCTTTCGTGACTGCAGGGATTCATCTTCTTGGTTCTTTCGGTAAAGTCACGTTATAGAGGCCCGAGCAATGACGGAACAGACGCAGCGTGGCGCTGTGTGGTTTTATTTGTTTGTCAGGGTGGATAAAGTCCCCTCTAGAACCCGATTAGTGTGGCTAAGACGCTCGCAGTGACGGGGATTCATATTGTTCGCAGACATTGCAGGGCCCCCTTCCTCCTGCTCTATCCGGATTATATTTATAGTTTATATTTTCATAAGCAGAACTCTGCTCTATGTCTACGCATACATACGGATTGTTATTAAGTTAGTCGGCCTATGGGTTTTCCAGACCGATGCTATCCATCAACAATTGTTGAAGAAATAAAAAGTCTGAACTGCCCATAGACTCAACACTGCTTATGGACTCAACACTGTCCATAGACTCAACACTGCCCATAGACTCAACACTGCTCATGGACTCAACACTGCCCATAGACTCAACACTGCTCATGGACTCAACACTGCCATAGACTCAATACTGCCCATAGACTCAACACTGCACCATAGACTCAACACTGCCCATAGCCTCAACACTGTCCATAGACTCAACATTGCCCATAGACTCAACACTGCCATAGACTAAACACTGCCCATAGACTCAACACTGCACCATAGACTCAACACTGCCCATAGACTCAACACTGCCCATAGACTCAACACTGCTCATGGACTCAACACTGCCCATAGACTCAACACTGTCCATAGACTCAACACTGCTCAAAGATTCAATACTGCCCGTGCACTCAACACTGCCCATAGACTCAACACTGCCCATAGACTCAACACTGCCCATAGACTCAACACTGCCCATAGACTCAACACTGCCATAGACTAACACTACCCATAGACTCAACACTGCCATACACTCAACACTGCCCATAGACTCAACACTGCCTATAGACTCAACACTGCCCATAGACTCAACACTGCCCAAAGACTCAACACTGCCCATAGACTCAACATTGCCCATAGACTCAACACCGCCCATAGACTCAACACCGCCCATAGACTCAACACTGCCCATAGACTCAACAGTGCCCATAGACTCAACACTGCCCATAGACTCAACACTGCCCGTAGACTCAACACTGCCCGTAGACTCAACACTGCCCATAGACTCAACACTGCCCATAGACTCAACACTGCCCATAGACTCAACACTGCCCATCGACTCAACACTGCCTATAGACTAAACACTTCCCATAGACTCAACACTGCCCATAGACTCAACACTGCCCATAGACTCAACACTGCCCATAGACTCAACACTGCCCATAGACTCAACACTGCCCATAGACTCAACACTGCCCATAGACTCAACAGTGCCCATAGACTCAACACTGCTCATAGACTCAACACTGCCCATAGACTCAACACTGCCTATAGACTCAACACTGCTCATGGACGCATCACTGCTCAAAGATTCAACACTGCTCATAGACTCAACACTGCACCATAGACTCAACACTGCCCATAGACTCAACACTCCCCCCTGTACATGAAGCAGTCCGCCTTCTTAACCTTCTGTTCCTTCCTCAAAGCCTCGCCACCTCTTCTCCGTTGCCCATCCCTTTCCTCTTCCCTCCCCTCGCCCCTCCACTCGGTCCCGTCCCTCCCCTGTAGCCTTCTCGTGACCCCCCCCCACGCCCCCTCTGTTAGGGTCACTCATTCATCGGTCAATGCACTGCCCCTGCTAACTAAATCACGACATGTTTGTTCCCGTTTTGTTTTGCTATGTTATCGAGCGCATTTGAGCTGCTAATGCTTCTCGATTAATATGAAACAATATCAGGAGTGAAATCAACCCGCATATGCAGCGAATCTTTGGGTAGGCGCAGGTTTTCCGCACGAGGAGCATCGACTCACACAAATGGAACCCGCGTAAAGAGAGGGGGGCAACCCGCGTTTGCTTTCGCTCGTGATGTTACACACGGACGCGTGGCGTTTTCGCGGTCACCACGACAATGACAGACGGCGTGGTACCCCCCCCCCTCCTGTCACTCTTCCTTCTCGCCTCTGCCCCCCCCCCTCCTTACCCCCCCCCCACTCCCAGGATAATCCGGACCAAGGTGCAGCAGCCGTTTCATCCCAGCCCTCAAGACAGCCCAGGACAAGGACTGCCCAGTGGACACACCATAGGTGTGTGTGTGGGTGGCGACCCGGGTTCGATTCCCGCTCACAGCCAACACCAGTGACGATTATTATCTGAGCCGGTCCTGGGCCTCCCCTAGGTCGACTCGGCCTCAAACGAGTACCTGGTGCAGGGTGTAAACATCGCTACGAGGGAGACAAAGGCGGCCGGGCGTGGTGCTGGCCACTCACCCCCTCGTGTACGGTTCCGGCCTCCATAGCTGCTCGCTAACAGCACTTGCTACTAGAGTCTGTTAAAGCTATACGGGGGATCTTTGTTTAACCAGACTCGATTATAGTGTGAGGAGCTCAGATCATTGAAAGATCTGAGCACAGTTCCATCTGTGAGATCCCCCTGCAGGCGAAGCTGTGTTTGGTTGGGTCACGTTGCCCGCATGCCCAGCAGCTTCTGTTTGGCCAGTTAGAGGGGCCTAAATGGGCACGGTACAGGCTAGAGAAGACATGGAGGTGATGCGGTAAAGCAGTGGTGGGGAACGTCCGGTCCGCGGGCCGTACGAGGCCCACGAAATCATTTGGTGTGGCCCTGCCAAGGCAACCGCAGGCGGGACTCGAAATTCAGTAAATCTAAGAGCAAACCTAGAAAAGCAGTTGCGAGTAGCAACATCATCAATACCAGCTAACATCACACGCCTCGCCAAAGAGAAGCAGTTCCAGCCATCGCATTAGGGGTGAGTTGATTAAACGTTTGACCAAATATAACGGGCTAACTTTTAAGTTGATAATTTTGTATGGCCCGCGAATGATGTTATAAATATCCAAATGGCCCTTGGCAGAAAAAAGGTTCCCCACCGATGCGGTAAAGGATGTTCTGGAGCCGAGTGGACTTGCTGACGGCTGGTACCAGCGGTGTCAAGATTGGCCTCTGTGGAGGAGGTTCGTGAAGGACGCTACTGGGATAAAACTAAATTCAATTATTGTTATTTTACCAGATAAGGCTCACTGAGTTATATAGCTCTTTTTCATAAACGACCTGGCCACAAATGATAGCTCAACGAAGTGGCTTATTACGTGGAAATGTATCGCAGCCAAATACTCTAAACGCGCGTTTGTACATTTTGTAAAGGGGAAAATCGGAGGACCCGGAGAAAAATCCACGTAACCACGAGGAGAGAGAGACACGCACACTCCAAATATCCAGGGGCATCAGCGTCAAGATCGAACCCACAACCTCCTGTGTACCAGGCGACGTAGTTAATATCTCACCACCATGGGCATTTGAAGACATTCGGCCACGTGGATTAGAGACCACGTGCATGATTAATGACTTCATCCGAATTGAGAATAAAAGCAGGGAGGCTTGGGCAGGAGCTGTCACTCAGAAGGGATGATGGACGATGGTCGAGACAAGAGTGGTAGCCATGGGATCCGAGAGGACATCCGACAGGGAGATGGAGCGATATAATCAGCTCCTCGCGTGCTGGTGTTATACATCGCGGCGGGACCCTCACGGAGGTTACTGTGCCGATGGGGAGGCCTTCATCCAGCAGTGGATTTTCCATCACTGGCGATGGTGACGACGACGATGGTGATGACGACGATGGCAGAAGAGATGTCGTGAAACGATAGCGAACTTCCTGGGGCCCTACACCCGTGCTTGGTTTGCGAGAGCCGAGCGCCGTTCCCGTGTGGTCACTGTGTGATCTCCATGTGTCCCCCGTGTGGTCTCCGTGTGGTCTTCATTTTGTCTCCATGTGGTCTCCATATGTTCCCCGTGTGGTCACCACGTGGTCTCCATGTGTCCCCCACGTTTTCTCCTTGTGGTCTTTATTTTGTCTCCATCTGGTCTCCATATGGTCCCCGTGTGGTCCTCGCGTGGGCCCCGTGTGGTCACCGCGTGGTCACCATGTGTCCCCCGTGTGGTCTCCGTGTGGTCTTCATTTGTCTCCGTGTGGTCCCTTTTGTGGTCTCTGTGTGGTCCCTGTGTTGTCCCCACATGGTCACTGTGTGATCTCCATGTGTCCCCCGTGTGGTCTCCGTGTGGTGTTCATCTTGTCTCCGTCTGGTCCCCTCTGTGGTCTCTGTGTGGTTCCCGTGTGGTTCCCCGCATGGACCCCTTTGTGGTCTCTGTGTGGTCCCCGTGTTGTCACCGCATGGTCCCCGTGTGACCTCCATGTGGTCTCCGTGTTGTCCCCACATGGTCCCCGTGTGGCCTCCATGTGGTCCCCGTGTGGCCTCCATGTGGTCCCCGTGTTGTCCCCACATGGTCCCTGTGTGGCCTCCATGTGGTCCCCGTGTTGTCCCCGCATGGTCCCCGTATGGCCTCCATGTGGTCCCCGTGTTGTCCCCACATGGTCCCCGTGTGGCCTCCATGTGGTTCCCGTGTTGTCCCCACATGGTCCCCGTGTGGCCTCCATGTGGTCTCCGTGTGGTCCCCGTGTATTGCAGTGTCCAGCGGGGCCATGACGCCCGTGGAGAGCTCCCTGGGGCCCAGTTCCTACTCCATCAGCGGGATCCTGGGCATCCCCCGGGCCAACGGAGATGCCAAGAGGAAGCGAGACGAGGGTACGAGCTCACACCTGACGCCCCCCCCCCCAACCCCCCCCCCCCCGACAAAAACATTCCAACATCGTTGCTCGTCGCAATGTCCGATGTTCCGTGCCACGTGCTGCAGAGTGACTGCGACAAACCTACGCGGTAAGGGAATTCCAACATCGCCCCTCCGGCCCTGTTCTTACGTCTCACAACCAGGCCCCCTAACGTTCCCAACTTTTCTATGATGGTTCTCTGTAAGTAAATAAAAAGAATACCATCTTGAGTTAGGCAGCTCAGAATCCGATGACAATCAAAATCTTTATTTAGATCAGGACGAAGCCGACGGAGTAAGTCTGTGTGTTCAACTTCTTTCACCGGTTCCATGGGCCTAGAAAGTTGGGCCCTCTCCGCTGCACCTCCTCACGCTGAGCCAGCGGCGAGGAACCATTCCCATGGCGAGGGCTTGGGTTAGCGTGGCCCTCGCCTAAGAGTCAGCGACTCGAAGCTCCTGACATCACGCGTCTCATCGCAACCACCCTGATGCCCAGCTGTAGTCGAGCCAAGGTGACTCCCAATCAGTGTTAACCATCCCTACGCGACGCAAGGTGGAGGTAGCTATTGCTCTGCAATTACGGGGAGACGCCGCGGTGCTTAGTGTGTACCGTGTGTGTGTGTCGTGGGTGTGTGTGTGTCGTGGGTGTGTATATGTGTCTACGAGTGGGGAGCGGTAGTGCAATGGTTAGCACTACGCTGCGCTACGAACCCGGCGATCCGAGTTCGATTCCCACTCACGGCCAACATAAGTGACGATTATCAAAACTGGTCTTGGGGCTCCCCTAGGTCGACTCAGCTTCAAATGAGTACCTAGTGCGGTGTGTAAACATCGCCACTGGGGAGACAAAGGCGGTCGGGCGTGGTGCTGGTCACCCACTGCCTCGTGTGCCGTGCCGGCCTTCATTGGTGCTCGCTAACAGCACTTGTCCCAACAGTCTGTTAAGGCTTTTTTGGGGCTATTTTTGTCTTTGTTACATATACGAGTGGTGTATGTGTATACTGTGTTATTCAGAGCCAATTGCCATTACCGTACATGAGATGAGACTAAACTAGGATCAGACGAGGACTGTGTACATTGACTTGGTGCTCAGAATTATCTGAAAGTCAACAGATTCCTGAGCGCAGTGCTTAAATGAGAAAGGCAGTGTTACCAGGTCGACAATGTAAGTCTGTGTGTTCAACTTCTTTCACAACATTCGTGGCCGACCGCGCTAATCGGAGGTCCGGGGGAAGGACAACAAACTAAACATGAAACGCAGTTCTAAAGAAATGAGCTTTCAATCTGGATGATTAAAAAGTGCATCGCTTCAGTGGCTTCCTAATATCGGAAAGGAAGAGCGCTCCAGACGTACGCAGAAGCGCATCTGAAACCGTCCGGGGCGGTGACCGTCTTTGTGCGATGGCCAGTCAAAATCCACTGCGAGGAAAAATGTCCCCCTCTAGTACCCAATTAGTGCGTCTAGCCCTGATCACGTCTGGACCACATTCCATGAGCCACGTTCTAGTCCAAACCTCAAATGTTTTGAACCCTTATCCTGCCATGAAATTCCCAAATTGTTTACCAGAAGCTTCCATTCCACACACGCGTCTCACCCATCCGCAAAAATCCCCTCTACTTGATCGCATGCACCAAGACGTGTTCCAAAAGCCCTGAACCTCCTCCACGCTTCTTCTTGGTTCTTTCGGTAAAGTCACGTAGAAGGGAAATAATAAAATAATAAAGATAAAACAATAAAATAATTCTCACGACGTTTCGGAAAGACAGCGTCTGAATGACAGACCTGTTCTTCACCTGAGGACGGCTGCTTGCGTTGTGGCCGAAACGTGGTAAGAATTATTTTATTATGTTTCATCTTTATTGTTTCATAATTTCCCTTCTACGTGACTTTACCGAAAGAACCAAGAAGATGAATCCCTGCAGTCACGAAAGCTTTAAATCGAAATTTAAACTCCTAACACGCTGTCGGGCCCTGTGCCCTGCCGTGAAATCCCGGCCACCCTCCGCAATCCACCTGCACTCGAACATCCAGAAGCGCCGTGGATTCCTCGCAAACCCCGTTTTTAATTTCCTTGGCAGTCGAGTAGAGTTCGAGGTGCCCGGTGGGGGTAGGAGGGGGGAGGATTGGGGGTAGAGGGGGGGGGGTAGAGACCAGGTGAGCAAGCCCCGGGATTCATTGTCAGCCGGCTGAGAGGCAACACAGGTGCGGACTTTGAGCCACTCCAACAGACGTCAACTTTTAAAATTAAAACGATGAACAAAAAATAATGGGGTCCGCTCTGCCCAAATACCTTTCCCACCAACGAACCCCCTCCACCCCCCCAGTCGTTCGCTTCGTGACGCCAGCCCCTCCATGAATCGGAATCGCCACCCGCAGCCCCGCGTCTCCTGCTAGCCCGGTATCAATTACAGAGAAGGGAATAAAAAAAACATTCATCGGCTTGGCACCGAGTCCTTTGCTTGAACTTACGGGGAAGGCCCATGACGAATGAGCGAGTGTGGCGTTGCGTGGCCTGCAGTCTCGAGTGTGCAGATGACTATTTACTTTAAAATCATGGGGCCTCCTTTGCCAGTACCAAAATATGAGAATAGGTTTTTCCCTTTCATCTGGCAACAAAACAGGTGTTAAGTTGTTAAAACACCAAACTGAAACCTTTTACAAGGAATCATGTCTGCATTAACCACAATACTTGTGGTCAGAATGCGTCCTCTGGTCTAACACCATTTAAGACGAGGCTCAAAAGAAAGCTGTCTCTGGTGTGGACCAATCAGTTTCAAGGACAATGCATATATTATCAGAGTATCTTTTTTGTTTGCATTCTGACCACAAGTATTGTGGTTAATGCAGACATGATTCCTTGTAAAAGGTTTCAGTTTGGTGTTTTAACAACTTAACGGCTGTTTTGTTGCCAGAAAAAAGGGTTAAAACCTATTCTCAGATTACTATTTACTTTTAATTACATTTTACTAAGTACGGGTTCACTGAGCTATACAGCTCTTTTTCAGAAGCAACCTGGCCACGAATAATATCCTAACGAAGTGGCTCGTCACGTGGAAATGTATAGCAGCCAAATACTCTAAACGCATGTTTCTACACGTGGAGGGAAAACCCGGAGGACCCGGAGAAAAATCCACGCGACCACGGGGAGAGAGAGACTTGACTTTTAAACAACTTTTATTACCGCCAGCAGCAAAAGCACTGGAGGCGATTTCAATATGAAATACAGTCACCAGCAAACAAAAGAAAACAAACGCTACAAATCGACGCGCTGTGGCGCTGAAAGCACCGCGCACAATACAAAAGAAAAGTCACGTGGTTAGAGAGACGCAAACTCTAAGTATACAGCAGCAGGCGTCAGGGTCGGGATCGAACCCACAACCTCCTACATATATCTCGCCACCGCGGCGCCCTCGTGTGAACACGAGACGGCGGTCCTTGATCAATAACGTCACGAGGCAGCCCTGAAAGAGCCGCGTGTTGCCGAGCCCCATTGACGGCATCCGCGATGGGCGAGACCGGGGACGCAGTGGCAGTCAAAGACACCGCGAGAAAACGTCTCAGGAGGCGGGACGAGACGCCCGTGGAGATGGAGCGATGAGATCGAGACGCGTTGTGGAATCGCTGGACCATGAAAGGGTGGCGACTGGTATTGCAAATGCCTTCATCCAGCAGCGGATAGATCATGCCCGATTACAGTGACACAAGATGATGATGATGATGACGATGGTAAATTATTTACTTCAATGCAGCTGCCGCTCGATCTGCTCTAGGGAGGGTTTGCGAAGCGAAGTTGTGTAATGCACGGCTAGGAGAATTAGAGACTTTTTTGACTTTTAAACAACTTTTATTGCCACCAGCAGCAATTGCACTGGAGGCGATTTCAATATGAAATACACAAAGTCACCAGCAAACAAATGAAAATAAACGCTAAAAATCGACGCGCTGTGGCGCTAAAAGCACCGCGCACAAAACAAAATAAGTATAACCCGTAAAAACAAAGTTTTTCACTATAAATCCTTTATATGCGTCGCGGCTCGAGTCCTCTCGTCCTCTGGCTTGAGATGGCTGCCACCTATGGGTCAGATGATTGCATTGCACCATTAAGCAATTGGTAATTAAATATAATATTTTTGTCCTAAAAAGTGGAAAATTTTGGAACAAAAATTTACACCAACATTAATTGTCACGCACAACGAGTCTGTCTGCAAAATGTCAGCTCAATTGGATCACGGGAAGTGGGTTAAAAACGACCGAAAGATTTGCACGGTCCTAAGCAAGCAAGCAAGCACGCGAACTTAATATAAAGGATTTAAAAAGGAGAGGGTGAGAGAGATATGAAGAGAGGAAGGGAGTAGAGATGGGGGGGGGGGGTGACCGCAAAGACTCTGAATAGACGATCGGAGCGCGTTCCCCCCCACCCACCACCACAATTTGCGAAGTGCCCTGCACGCGAATTCACTGTGGACCCTCTGAGCCAGAGCAGCTGCGGCAGAAACTCTCCCGCAAGGCGCCTCGCCATCGCCCAGACGGACGGCGCAGATTCTGGGTGATGCGTAGGGGCGGGGTGGGTGTTTGTTGTGGGTTAGGGGGCCGTGTGTGAAGTTACAATCTTTCTTTTCTCTCTTGCTCTCTCGCTCTCTCTCTCTCTGCGTGGGTGGGTGCGGAGAATGAATGAATCGCGATAAAGTATCGATGACCGATGCTACCACATCGATTGGTTCTCGAATTGAATCGAATTTCTGAATTGTGATGGTGAGGGGAGGGTTAGGGAAGGGTGGGGGGAGCGGGATGGATAACTGGATGGTTGGGGTGTGGACAAGCCGCTTGTCATTGTAATATCGCACACAAACCCATTACGCATTGCCATGGAAACTAATGTGTATAGAGTGAACACACAGGCAGACCTCGCTTAGCGCTCGAGACGCGCGTTCCTAACCGAATGAGAGCTAAAAGGGGTCATTATCTGGGATGCGTTCCCGGCAGCGTTATTTCTTTCGTGTGAGCAATATGAGGGCTTCATTTGGGCATCAGTAATAGCGCTAATAATAATACAGACGGTAAACATTACTTCATGTTAAAAAATATTTATACAAATATAAAACATTTTCCTAGAAAGCATTATCGACTGCACTCAGGAGTGGATTCTACGATACCCATGGAAGGCAGAATGAGCAAAACACCGTGTTGCCTTAAAATGAATCCAATATATAATAGGCGACGTTTCGGACAATGACCCTTCTTCATAGCGCATGAATAGAGAGGCCATAGATACATAGTGGGCTGTAAGAGTTGGAGATTGGACGTTACTTCGTGGGGCCTGATAAGAATTCGGTTTTTAAAACAAGCTTTCTGATGGCCCGTTTTTAAATTGCCGTGTGAATAGTTACTCTCGATTTGTGTGCTATAGAAACAGGCCCATTGCCCGAAACGTCGTCTACAATATTACGTGTGTTTTTTCCTTGTAATGCCACACACGCAGTGTCGGTATTGGCGAACGCGTTGGGGAGATATTGATATTCACAATCAACATTTTTGGGTTAGATCGCGTTATTTATAAATGTGTCGTAACCCTCCACCACCCGACACGGCCAATCAGCAAAAAAGTGTCACGTTGACACAAGGCAAATATGTCACTGCTTTAGCCCACCGATTTTGATATTCGCACCACTGCCAACACAAGCGGCATCACCAATTGCTTTACACGTCTCAGCAGATCCTCTCGCATATGAACATCGGGCAGTTTTCGCCAGCATTGCTTCAAGGAAGTCAGACTGCTGATGAGACGCTGCATGTTGAAACCCGTGCAGCTGATTGTGTAAACACAATTGACGTGTAGAGACTAATGTGTGCAGGATGCGTTCTCTCTTTAGCCATTGACATCCTACATAATGGCCCTCAACGATGAGTTCGTGACATAGGAACACAACTCTAATTCTAGATTTGAAGCTTTCGTGACTGCAAGGTTCATATTCTTAGGTTTTTTTCGGTAAAGTCACGTAGGTAAAAAAAATAAATTAATGAAAGTAAAATTAAAATAAAATAAAAATCACGACGTTTCGGAGGCAACACAAGCTTCCGTCTTCAGGTGGAACCGTCACAGCACGATAGACTTCACCGAAAAAAACCTAAGAATATGAACACAACTCTATTCTGTCTAAAAGTAAAGCCATGCTTTTGTCCATAGGCTCTCTCGGCCACGTATTATGACGCAGCATTTGTCGAAGCATCCTCGGTCTCATCAGCAGTCACGCTTGTTAGTGAAGTGAACAACGTCAGCTGGATTGCCAGATGTTATTGGCAAGAGCACGCCCATTGCATCCATTGGACCATTTTCAACGCAAACAGCCGTGCCACGCCACGAACTCATTTTTCTTTGCCGCGGAGAATTCTGTGTACAAGCAGAGCTCAGCTCAGCATCTCCGCGCACAGATGAACAGCTGTCTTAGTCAATCATCCAATCGGATTAACAGACCAACATTGCCCAGCAGGCAAGGGGTTTACAAAATATATCCTGCAGCCACCTGGCACCCCTCCAACTCATAGGCAACGACGCAGGTTCACCGCCTGCGCACTCAAGACTGTAGCCCAATCACTGCCGATGCCATTCCCCCTCGCCCCCGCTCCACCCCATCACACCACGGGGGCGCGGCGCTACGGGTTGGATGCGTAGATTGTTACGGCCCTAAAGATGTCACGACGTCAAATATGATTAGCGGCGTCACCACCCCCCCACCCCACCCCTGGTTGTTTTTTTTTTCTTCCTTTGCCGTTGGCTACGATGGCGCAGCGGCTGACTCGAGCACGCGGGCGACGCGCGTCACAGTTAGGGGCGTGTGACGCGTCACAGTAGGTGGTGACGTCACAGATCAGCCGGGGAATTCGCCGATTGGGGCGAGCGGCTTGGAGAATCGCAGTTCAGCGCTGGGAGGGAGGGGAGGGAGGGAGGGGGTGGGATCGCGCTCGTGGACAAGAAGGAAAAGCGAGCATTTTTATTTTTTGATACAAACGTACCGCGTCCCACGATTAATGGACGCCTCTTTAACGCGACGCGGTTCCTCACTCGTCGAGAGCAACTCCGGTGACTTACGCGACAGCAAAGGTGCAGGCCAAGCGAGACGATGACTTGCAGAAGCGATACAAGAAAACAGACGATGCATCCTGACGTCTCGCCCACACACCTGGAGCTCACTCACTCACCTGTCTCACTCACCTGTGTGTCACTCACACACCTCACTCACACACCTCACACACACCTGTGGCTCACTCACCTGTGTGACTCACACACCTCACCCACACACCTCACCCACACACCTGTGGCTCCCTCACCTGTGTGACTCTCACACCTCACCCACACACCTGTCTCACTCACCCATGCCTCACCCACACACCTCACCCACACACCTCACCCACACACCTCACACACTCACCTCACCCACACACACCCGTGCCTCACCCACACACCTCACCCACACACCTCACCCACACACACCCGTGCCTCACCCACACACCTCACCCACACACCTCACTCACTCACCTCACCCACACACCTCACCCACACACACCCGTGCCTCACCAACACACCTCACCCACACACACCTGTATCACTCACCTGTGTGTCACCCACACACCTCACCCACACACACCTGTATCACTCACCTGTGTGTCACTCACACACCTCACCCACACACCTCACCCACACACCTCACCCACACACCTCACCCACACACACCCCTGTGTCTCCCCCACACCCGCAGTGGACGCGGCGCTGCACGGGGGCGAGGGGCGCTGTGGGGGGGTGCCCCACGCGGGAGGCCGCAAGCAGCTGCGTGTCGACGCCTTCGCCCAGCAGCAGCTGGAGGCGCTGGAGCGCGCCTTCGAGCGCCAGCACCACTACCAGGAGCCCTTCACCAACTCCGCCGCCGCAGCCTCCGGCGAGCCCGTCAAGGCCGAGCAGGTGCCAGACGGCACAGACCCTACTATCTGCTATCCTATTATCCGCGATCCTACTATCTGCAATTCTACTATCTGCGATCCTACTATCTGCGATCCTACTATCCGCAACCCTATTATCTGCGATCCTACTATCCGCAATCCTATTATCCGCGATCCTACTATCTGCAATTCTACTATCTGCGATCCTACTATCTGCGATCCTACTATCTGCGATCTACTATCCGCTATCCTATTATCCGCGATCCTACTATCTGAAATCTTACTATCTGCGATCCTACTATCCGCAATCATACTATCTGCAATCCTACTATCCGCAATCCTATTATCCGTGATCCTACTATCTGCAATCCTACTATCTGCGATCCTACTATCTGCAATCCTACTATCCGCAATCCTACTATCTGCGATCCTACTATCTGCGATCCTACTATCTGCGATCTACTATCCGCTATCCTATTATCCACGATCCTACTATCTGAAATCCTACTATCTGCGATCCTACTATCCGCTATCCTATTATCCGCGATCCTACCATCTGCGATCCTACTATCTGCAATCTACTATCTATGATCCGCGATCCTACTATCTGCAATCCTATTTTCCGCGATCCTACTATCCGCAATCCTACTATCTACGATCCGCGATCCTATTATCCGCGATCCTATTTTCTGCGAACCCGAGTTCGATTCCCGCTCACGGCAACCAACACCGGTGACGATTATTTGAACCGTTCATGGGCCTGTCCTCTAGGTGCACTCAGCCTCAAATGAGCACCTGGTGCGATGTATAAACATCGCCACTAGGGAGAAAAAGGCGGCTGGGCAAGGTGATGTTGGACGCCCACACAATCTCGTGTGGCGTGCCGGCCTTCATAGGTGCTACTCGCTGACAGCACTTGCCCCAGCAGGCAGCAGCAGCGGGAGTCTCGCGTTGAGCCAATGCCACCAACAATTGATTGTGTTGGAGGAAACTCTATCCCGTACAGATGTAACAGACGGAGTCCACGTTTCTTGCTTTGCTGTACCACATTCTCCTGTCAGTGCTGGACTACAGGACACGTGCCTAGCCACCACGGGTACAATTCAATGTTACACAATGCGATGCTTAAGTAGGTCCTCGTTTAACGAGGTAGATGCGTTCCCGAAAAGTGCCGCGATAAACTAAAAACGCGTTAAGCGAAAACAATTTCCCCAAAAAGAATGGAACGGTAAAGTTTGGCGAGATACGATGTCCTACTACCACGCACACCACGCGACGCTCTTCCTCCACTTATTAAGAAACGACCGGAGCTATGCACTTCTAATCATCTCGATTGAGAACTAATTTATTTCTAACTTCTTTTCGTGTTTAGTTTGTTTGTCCTTCCCCTACACCTCCGATTACGTACGGTGCGAAAGAAGTTCAACAACAACAACTGCCGCTAAGTGGCGGTGACGTCACCACGACGCCTGTGCCAGGCCATGTGCACCTTGAGGCCACGAGGCCTCAAGGTTCAACGTACGCACAGAAACACACACACGCGCATTTCGTGGTATCGCTCCTGGTTAATGGCTGTCCCCGCAATCGTAGCAGATGTCTGCTGGGGCCCTTGTATTGAAGAGAGGTCGCCACCTGAGACCAACCGGGGTTCCATGGGATGGGGGGTGGGGGGTTAAGAGGGGTTGGAGGAGGGGAGGGGGGTTCCTCAAAGGGGGATAAGCGACCGTTTGGCCTCATAAACCCATTAGCGGAACGAGAGAGTCTATTAATAACGAGCGGCACGGGCTCTCCCGCGGGGCGTCTGTGGGTATGGCAGCTCGCCACCCCAGACCCCCCCTCTTCCCCCTCCTGCCCACCGCACCCCAGACCCCCCCTCCTCCTCCTGCCCACACCACCCACCACCCACACACCATCGTGCAGCATCCCTCACTCATTCGCAGCCCCCCCCCCAACAGAGCCAGACCACAGAACCCCCAACCCCGAGCGCATCCCAAGTCGGCACACCACCAACAACACCACCAACAACAACAACCACACCACCAACAAAAACAACAACCACAACCCTAACACCCCCGCCCCCCCCCCCCCCACCAGTTCATCTCTCACTCCCTCCCAGATCCACAACCACCGACTCAGCCACCCAGCCTCACTCGCAGGCTCGCTGTCTCTTAGGCACTCTGTGCCCCTCTCATTGTCTCGCTCACTCACTCGCCCTCTCGCTCACATCCCCTTCTCTCTCAGTCACTGCTTTACCGTCTCACTCAGTCTCACACTCTCTCACTCTCTCATTCCCTCCTTGGCTCACTCACTCTTAGGCTGTCTCACTCCCACGTTTACTCTTTCACTCTCTCACACTCCCTCACCCTCTCACTCCCTCCTTGGCTCACTCACTCTCTCACACTCCCTCACCCTCTCACTCCCTCCTTGGCTCACTCACTCTCTGTCCATCCCCTTTACTCACTCTCACTCTCCTTTACACTCTCACTCAGTCTCACTCTCTCACTCACTCACCCTCACACTCTCTCACTCAGTCTCACTCTCTCACTCACTCACCCTCACACTCTCTCACTCTACTTTACTCTATCACTCAGTCTCACTCTCTCACTCTCTCACTCTCCTTCTCTCAGTCTCACTCTCTCACTCTCCTTTGCACTCTCACTCAGTCTCACTCTCTCACTCTCTCTCACTCTCCTTCACTCATTCTCACTCAGTCTCACTCTCTCACTCTCCTTCACTCAGTCTCACTCTCACACTCTCTCACTCTCCTTCACTCATTCTCACTCAGTCTCATTCTCTCACTCTCTCACTCTCCTTCACTCAGTCTCACTCTCTCTCACTCTCCTTCACTCAGTCCCACTCTCACACTCTCTCACTCTCTCACACTCTCCTTCACTCAGTCTCACTCTCACACTCTCTCACTCAGTCTCACTCTCACTCAGTCTCACTCTCTCACTCTCCTTTACACTCTCGCTCAGTCTCACTCTCACTCTCTCTCACTCTCTCTCCTGTAATTGACTTCATTTTAATTTCCGCGCTCACGCGCGCGGCGATCCATCAGGCCTGTCGCGCCGATAATGAGTGCCAAGCCTCATCACTAATTAGCGTCGAGGTTCGTGGGGGGGAGGGTGGGTGTGCAGTGGGGAGAGATGGGGGGAGAGAGCGAGGGAGGGAGCGAGGGAGGGAGGGGGAGAGAGGGGGGAGAGAGCGAGGGAGGGAGGGGGGGAGAGAGTGGGGAGAGAGTGGGGAGAGAGTGGGGAGAGAGTGGGGAGAGAGTGGGGAGAGAGTGGGGAGAGAGGGGGGAGAGAGGGGGGAGAGAGGGGGGAGAGAGTGGGGAGAGAGTGGGGAGAGAGTGGGGAGAGAGTGGGGAGAGAGGGGAAGAGAGGGGGGAGAGAGGGTGGAGAGTGAGGGGGGAGAGAGCGGGGAGGGAGGGGGGAGAGAGGGGAGAGAGTGGGGAGAGAGGGGGGAGAGAGGGGGGAGAGAGGGGGGAGAGTGAGGGGGGGAGAGAGCGAGGGAGGGAGGGGGGAGAGAGGGGGGGGGAGAGAGTGGGGAGAGAGGGGGGAGAGAGGGGGGGGAGAGAGTGGGGAGAGAGGGGGGAGAGAGGGGGAGAGAGGGTGGAGAGTGAGGGGGGAGAGAGGCGAGGGAGAGAGGGGGGAGAGAGGGGGGAGAGAGCGAGGGAGGGAGGGGGGAGAGAGGTGGAGAGAGAGGGGGGAGAGAGGTGGGGAGCGAGGGGGGAGAGAGTGAGGGGGGAGAGAGCAATGGGGGAGAGAGCGAGGGGGGAGAGAGGGAAGACGGCCAACATGTGAATTGAGCAGAGTGAATATTCAACTCAATTGGAAATGAATGTCGGCATTGCTGCTGTCGACGCTGCTGTCACTGCTGTATGTACTGTACGTTGGACTTCTTTCGCACCGTACGTAGCCAACCGTGCCAATCGGAGGTGCGGGGGGAAGGACAACAAACTAAACACCGCTGCTGTTGCTGATTATGATGACGTGGCCTAATGGTTTCAAATCCAGCGGCCCGCCCTGGTTAATACTGCGGGTGTAGTGACCCTGACAATTACTGCGACGCGCAGTCTGCTTCACTCACAGCGGACTTTAAAGATTCTTTGACGTCACTCGGAAGAGAATCAGAATATGCATACTGAAGGAGGAATCCGATGAGCTGTAAAGCTCTTGTTCACAGAAGTCCAGTATGGGGCGCGAGTTTTAGAACGTTACAGCAACAAATAATACAACACGTGATAGGCGTGCGAAGTATGGGCAAAGGTGAACAACTCATTCTAGATTTGAAGCTTCCGTGACTGCAAAGATTCATATTCTTAGGTTTTTTCGGTAAAGTCACGTAGGTAAAACATTAAAATTAATAAAAGTAAAATAAAAATAAAATAAAAATAACGACGTTTCGGAGGCAACACAAGCTTCCGTCTTCAGGTGGAACAGTCACAGCACGATAGCTGTATCAAGTGAGAGAAATTCCAAAAAAACCGAAAGCTTCAAATCTAGAATTAAATGAAGATTATCATCACCCCCATCTATCGGCAGACTACCCGCCCAGGGCTCGCTTGCCGATGGGACTTATCCTGGCCTCCTGGGTCCTCACCTGGTTCAATGAAACAGGATGCTTCAAAAAAATGTTAACACTTGAGAGAATTTGAAACAATGCCACAAGAAGTGGGCCTCCTCCTGGCTCTGGAGACCACCTGGAGAAGATTCCAGGCACGTGTTGACAATGATGGCGAAAAAGTAGAGACTCTTTGACTTTTGAAGCTATTAACATACATTTTTTTATAATGTTGCAGTGTATTATCCGTTCTATTTACGTTCTACTTTCCATTAAAAACTATAGTCCCATATAGGTGTCAACATTTTTTTGAAGCACCCTGTATAATCTGTGGTGGGAGGTTTAACGACACATTTATATTTACGCGATCAAACCCAAAAAACCTTTGTTATGGATGAAATTGTCCATTAAAGATCCCCCATATAGCCTGGGGAGCACCTACATAAAGACAAAGATCCCCCATATATTCTTTAACAGACTGTTAGGCCAAGTGCTGTTAGCGAGCACCTATGAAGGCCGGCATGGCACACAAGCGGGTGGGTGACCAGCACCACGCCCGGTCACTTTGTCTCCCTAGTAGCGATATTTACACACCGCATCAGGCACTCATTTTAGGCTGAGTCAACCTCGAAGAAGCCCAGGACCGGTTCACTGGTGTTGGTGGCCATGAGCGAGAATCGAACTCGGGGTCCGCCGAATTCGTAGCGCAGCGCGCTAACTGCTGCCCCACCGCTCCCCGCCACCGATGCAACGGCATGCATTTGTGCACACGCCATGACCTCCACGCGTGTTGACCGCTCACCCCGTGCCCTCTGTGCGTGCGTGTGGGGTCAGGCCGCGGAGTTCTCACCCCTGTCGCTGGCAGGAGGAGGAGGAGGAGGCGGGGGGAGTCTGGAAGACGGGAAAGGACTGAGTGGGCCTCACACGGCTCACCAAGCCTACCCACTCGTGGCAGGTGAGAACCCCGTGGACAGGTGATGGGAGGGGCTCAGAGACGAGAGGGGATGGAAGCCTCCTCTCGGTTGAGGGACGCAGCCACGAACAGAGAGAAGTGGACAGGAGAGAGAGACTTTTGACTTTTAAACAAATTTTATTGCCGCCAGCAGCAAAAGCACCGGAGGCGATTTCAATATGAAATACAGTCACCAGCAAACAAAAGAAAATAAACGCTACAAATCGACGCGCTGTGGCGCTGAAAGCACCGCGCACAATACAAAAGAGAGAGACGGGTGGCAAGGAGATTAAGTGTAAGAATGATTTGATGATTGCCCGATGCTGCTGCTGCTGCGTTAGCAGCCGTGCACAAGCACAGCAACAACACGCAGCGCATTTGTTCAAAACTCTGTGGAATCATTATTATCGCGCACTCGTTTTGCCGAGCCAAGCAATAGCCACTTCATTAGCGGCGTGGGAGGCCCTGCGTCCACCCGAGTCGAGGCCACCTGGGTTCACCTGAGGCCACGTGAGTTTGTTTGAGTTCACCTGAGACCACCTGGGTTCACCTGAGTCCACGTGACTTTGCTTGAGTTCACCTGAGTTCACCTGGGTTCACCTGAGGCCACGTGACTTTGCTTGAGTTTCACCTGAGTTAACCTGGGATCACCTGAGGCCACGTCAGTTTGTTTTGAGTTCACCTGAGTTTCACCTGGGTTCACCTGAAGCCACGTGACTTTGCTTGGAGTTCACCTGAGTTCGCCTGGGTTCACCTGAGGCCACGTGAGTTTGCTTGAGTTCACCTGAGTTCAACTGGGTTCACCTGATTCCACGTGACTTTGTTTGAGTTCACCTGGGTTCACCTGAGGCCACGTGACTTTGTTTGAGTTCACCTGGGTTCACCTGAGGCCACGTGAGTTTGTTTGAGTTCACCTGAGTTCACCTGGGTTCACCTGATGCCACGTGCGGTTTGAGTTCACCTGGGTTCACCTGGGTTCACCTGAGGCCACGTGACTTTGCTTGAGTTCACCTGAGTTCACCTGGGTTCACCTGAGGCCCACGTGACTTTGCTTGAGTTCACCTGGGTTCACCTGGGTTCACCTGAGTCCACGTGACTTTGCTTGAGTTCACCTGGGTTCACCTGAGTCCACGTGACTTTGCTTGAGTTTACCTGGGTTCACCTGGGTTCACCTGAGTCCACGTGACTTTGCTTGAGTTCACCTGGGTTCACGTGGGTTCACCTGAGGCCACGTGACTTTGCTTGAGTTCACTTGAGTTCACCTGGGTTTCACCTGAGGCCACGTGACTTTGCTTGAGTTCACCTGAGTTTACCTGGGTTCACCTGAGTCCACGTGACTTTGCTTGAGTTCACCTGGGTTCACCTGGGTTCACCTGAGTCCACGTGACTTTGCTTGAGTTCACCTGGGTTCACCTGAGTCCACGTGACTTTGCTTGAGTTTACCTGGGTTCACCTGAGTCCACGTGACTTTGCTTGAGTTCACCTGAGTTCACCTGGGTTCACTTGAGGCCACGTGAGTTTGTTTGAGTTCACCTGCGTTCACCTGGGTTCACCTGAGGCCACGTGACTTTGCTTGAGTTCACCTGAGTTCACCTGGAATCACCTGAGGCCACGTGACTTTGCTTGAGTTCACCTGAGACTACCTGAGACCACCTGACGAGAACGATGGCCCCCAGGTGTGGAGGTCGTCTGCCCCCTGGCCTGAGTCTGGCGTGCTGGCGCGCGAGAGCAAAGTCATTCATATCGACTGGGTATTGATGTACGATCGAGATGATATTGAGAGCGTATTGATTCGCAGTTAAGGTGCATTTGCTGCAAGGTGACGAGGGTTAGCGGGAAGGACGAGGAGTCACCTGATTCGCACTGAGACACGGACCGTGTTGTATGTGTATGTACGTTGAACTTCTTTCGCACCGTACGTAGCCAAACCGTGCTAATTGGAGGTGCAGGAGAAGAACAACAAACTAACACACACGAAAACAACTGCTCTAAAATAAATGAGTTTTCATTCTAGATGTAAAAGTGCATAGCTCCGGTGGCTTCCTAATATCGGAAGGAAGAACGTTCCAGACGGCCGCAGAAGCGCGTCTGAAAGCGCAGCGCGCGATGTGGTGACCACAGTCTTTTGCTCGATGGCTGGAGTTCGCAGGATGATGGTTTATGCCCCTTTGACGAGATCAGAAAGGTATGTGGTTAATACTGGTAGGAAACCTCCTGGTTACACCAGCCCACAGGAGATTATTGTGTCCGTCGTGCAGGGAGGGGCTGGGTGGGGAGGGAGGGGCTGGGTGGGGTAGGGGAGGGTGGGGAGGGGCTGGGTGGGGCTGGGTGGGGAGGGGCTGGGTGGGGGAGGGTGGGGCTGGGTGGGGGGTGGAAGGGGAGGGGCTGGTCACCCCGTGGTGCCCTTATAAAACTCAACGTTTAACCTACTCACGCCGGCTTGTGCCCGCCCTCACAGTCGGGCATATTTGCGGAATACACCACGCCGCCGTTGACCCTGGCCATTGACCGAGCAACCCAACGTTCCTACCAGCTCCCTCCGCAGGAAAGTGTTTTGTAGCAAGCATCATGGCAAATGCGTTTGCATATCGACAAATACTGTCATCCTCTTTGCTTTTATTGTTTTCCAAGTCATCAATAGGGCGAGTCTCACAACACAACGTTGTGGGAAAACTTCGTTCATATCGGATCGTCCTCATGAGAGTTATGGATGAACGGAGTCAATGCATAAACCCTGGACACGAACACTTGCCCTGACAGTCTGAATCGGATACACAGGATGGTGTGGTTATATGGACGGTGTGTGTGTGTGGACGTGCATGGGGAGATGTAGTGCAATGGTTAGCACGCTACGCTACGAACCCGCCGACCTGAGTTCGATTCCCGCTCATGGCCACCAACACCAGTGCCGATTACTTGAATCGGTCCTGGGCCTCCTGTAGGTCGACTCAGCCTCAAATGAGTACCTGGTGCAGTGGGACAACATCGTCACTGGGGAGACAAAGGCGGCCGGGCGTGGTGCTGGCCAACCCACTCTATCGTGTGCCGTTTCAGCCTTCATAGGTGCTACTCGCTAGCAGCACTTGCCCCAACAGTCTGTTAAAGGCTATACGGGGGATCTTTGTCTTTGTGTGTTCAACAGGTAGAGAAATGGGCAACACGACACTGCCCGGGTACCCGCCACACGTACCCCCAGGCGGGCAGGCTGGCTACACGACCTCCTCACTGGCTGGCATGGTGCCCAGTGAGTATACAACGCTACCCACTCACCCACCCACCATCAGTGTAGTACTCAACCCACCCACCCACCATCAGTGAGGAACTTAACCCTACCCACTCACCCACCCACCATCAGTGTAGTACTCAACCCACCCACCCACCATCAGTGTAGTACTCAACCCTACCCACTCACCCACCCACCATCAGTGTAGTACTCAACCCACCCACCCACCATCAGTGAGTTCTCAACGCTACCCACTCACCCACCCACCATCAGTGAGAACTCAACGCTACCCACCCACCCACCATCAGCGTAGTACTCAACGCTACCCACTCACCCACCCACCATCAGTGAGTATACAATGCTACCCACTCACCCACCCACCATCAGTGAGTACTCAACGCTGCCCACTCACCCACCCACCATCAGTGAGGACACAACACTACCCACCCACCCACCATCAGTGTAGTACTCAACGCTACCCACTCACCTACCCACCATCAGTGAGAACCTAACGCTACCCACTCACCCACCCACCATCAGTGTAGTACTCAATGCTGCCCACTCACTCACCCACCATCAGTGTAGTACTCAACGCTGCCCACTCACCCACCCACCATCAGTGTAGTACTCAACGCTACCCACTCACCCAACCACCATCAGTGAATATACAATGCTACCCACTCACCCACCCACCATCAGTGAGTACTCAACGCTGCCCACTCACCCACCCACCATCAGTGAGTGGTACCCAAGAGATATACGAAAAGATTATTGATCTCGTGATGACGCGCTGCAGATAGTTGAGTTCACGATGACGTTGGGGGGTGGGGGAAGGGGACGAGGGGAGGGCGATAGGGTGCCGGGGGAAATTACCCAAAAAATTAGCCACAAATGAAAAAAATGAACAAAAATTACCAAAAAATTACTAATAATGCTGTTGCGTTTTGATTTCTCCTCTAAAGCGCCCGAGTTCTCCGGGAACCCGTACCCACACGCGCAGTACGCCACCTACAACGACACGTGGAGATTCACCAACTCGGGGCTTCTGGGTGAGTTCTCACAACAAAGACAAAACAGATTCCCCCGTGTAGCCTTCACGAGGCGTTGCCGCTCGCTCAACAGCACTTGGGCCCAGCAGTTTTGTCGAAAGGCTACACGGGCGCATCTTCGTCTCTGTGTCTGGGCGTGCGCAGGTTCCCCCTATTACTACAGCACGGCGACACGCGGGGCCGCCACCCCGGCCGCCACAGCCGCGTTCGACCGCCACTAGTCGCGGTCAAGGTTCGACGCCCGCACCGTGGACGATGCAGAGAGCACGGTCGATGAGGTGGACGTCGGTGACCCCCCCCCCCTCCATCACCCCCCCCCTCCTCCCAACTCACTCGGCCGCCACCACTCAGCTCGCAAGAGAGCGGAACGACGTCCTTTTGATACCGAGCGCGGCTTTGTGCGAGACACCGCCCGCCACTGGCTTTCAATCCCGAAAAATCAACCAATCGCACGGTCAGGACAGCTCACGTCGGTGCAGTGGTGCAGCCCTTCGATTGCCTTCCCATGCCAGAGAGAGAGCCCCCCCCCCCCCCACACACACCCCCCCCCCCCCACCTTCTCTAGATGTCATCTTGGCCTACTCTTCCACCTTCCACGCTGGGCAGACGTCTTGGAGGAAGCGGAAGGGGGGAGTGGCCCGTTCAGTTACCCCGCGGAGCGCACGGTCAGCCCTGACGCTCACCTCGCAGCTCGGATCGACCGCGTCGGAAGCGTCCATCGCTCGCACGGCTCGGAAAAAATTGTCAATCTTGAATTGTGCTCAATCAGAAACGTGGACCATAATGGGGGCCACAATGGGATCGGTAGCGGGGACATAACGAGACCACATTGGGACACCTTGCAGCGAGAGGGAGAATCTCTCCGATCGCGCTCTCTCCGATGGCGTCACCGCACCCCGAACAACACGCGGCGAACAAAAGCACGGGGGGTGCTTTAAGAATATGAATCCTTGCAGTCACGAAAGCTTCAAATCTAGAATTGGTGCTTCAGTCGCCCGGCACGGAACAAACGGTGAGGATCCAACTCCGCGCGGAGCTTTCGAAAGTGGAACGTAGAAAGAAAAAAAAAGCGAAACGGGTGGCGGAATGCGGCCGTAGCCTCATTTTCTCTCACGTTCTAACTCAAGGTCTCCGAAGTGGTTCTGTGATGTCTGCTTCAGTGGGCTTTCTTCTGTGCTCTGAGAGAGTTTCAAAGGGGATTCTTCGTCTCAAAGACACGGCAAAGCGACCGATGGCGCAGTTGGAATACAATTGCAGGGGAGGTGGAGGGGGACGGTGGGGGGCGGGGGCAAGAAATTAAACAACACTTTTCACAAATAAATAACTTGACGTCGTCACAATTAGGCATCCATCCACAACCCAAAATCCCGACATGGAGTTTCTCAGCTCAGGAGCCGGAGCCACGATTGTCCACAGCACTGGGCGAGTTCTTTACGACCAACCGAGGAGTTTCTTTTTTTTGGGGGGGGGGGGTTCTGCTCGGCTCTCAACGACGGCACGGTGTCCGACGTTTCACCACCCACCTCCTGGGAGCTTCTTCAGCAAGCGAGTCGTCGAAGCCGTCGGACACAAAGTCGCGGCACACAAAACGCGGGGAAAAAACTCCTACGCAGTCTCGTTAATTCTGTTCATTTTGCGAATTTCAAATTTTTTTTTGGTCTTTTACCGGTGGCGTTGCACTGCGGCACAACGACGGACGCATCCAGGGCAGGGCAGATCATCGCGTTTCTTCGCGTGGAATTCACCCCAAAAGCCATTTCATCGTTCGGCTGAGTCAACCCGCGCAGCGAGATGAGAAGGGCTGGACACGCCGGACGTGCGGGTGGAGTGGAGTGGCCGAGTGATCGGGGCAGTTGCTCCGTACAATCCAATCAGAATCGAGAATAAGTGGATCATTCCGGCCTCCCCTCTTCCAAACAACGGAGCGCTCCCATCAGCCTAGCCTTCGAAGAAGAACGGAGATTATCTTACAGGTGAGAGCAGACAGGTGACGTCACTTCATCCTCATCAATTATCATCAGCCATGAGCAATGCACTGCTGGGTGAGTCGATTTCATCGCTCCATCTCCTCTGGGACGCGTTCCATTCCTGGGCTGCTGCTCCGTACATTGTTAAGACATAAATCACGGATCGCCATACCAGGCTTAGTCACTTCATTCAATAATGGCCAGATCAACGGGATTCCACCCAACCACCCAACCACCCAACCACCCAACCACCCAACCTTGGTCAGATGTCAAAAGCCGAGCAGTGGCTCATCGTGTGGAAATTCTTAGCAGCTACCGGATCCGGAGAAAAATTCACGTGACCACGGGCAGAGAGATACGCAAACTCCAAATATACAGCAGCAGGCGTCAGGGTCGGGATCGAACCCACGACCTCCTGTATACCAGGCGAGGTTGTTAACATTTCCTAGCCACCGTGATGATGATAGAGACACGCAAACTCCAAATATACAGCAGCAGGCGTCAGGGTCGGGATCGGGATCGAACCCACGCCACGACCTCCTGGGTACCAGGCGAGGTAGTTGACATCTTGCTACCGTCACGCCCATTAATGGCATTGGCCAAACATCCCAATGGCGCAGTAGAACCCTCATTAAAACAACAATTTAAATTCGATGAAGCTTTTCTTGTGTATATAAAGGACATTGTTAATAACTATTATTAGAATATACTTATTCCTTTTCTGACCATTTTTTTTTCTTCACGAGAGGAATTTTAATTCGGCCACTACCCAAAAAACTCAACGTGGACGGGGATATACGACACACAAACAAAAAACGAAACTAGTTCCTGTTCGCGCCTTAAATTCCTCCAATTCAACTCGGGCGGACGCTGCCACCCACCGTGGTGTAACGGTCATCAGCGCGCTGGACTTGCGATCCAGAAGTTTGCCGGTTCGATTCCATCTCCCTGAGCGCGGTAATTGATGGATGGTGCGAGTTTATTGACCCCCCACACGCCCCGGTGCGCCACGGTCCACCCATCGGTGTCAGTGGGTGCATCGTAGTGGTGGGGTAAAGTGGCGAGTTACGTCCACCTCTTTCAAAAGGATGTCCAGCCGACGTGGGAGAGGTGGTCGCCTGCTAGAACTTCTTCCAGTGGGAGGTGCCTCTCTTTACAGACGGGGCTTGAGAAAGACACCGCACGGTTTCTTCACGTGTGCCCTTTAGAAACTGCTGCAGTCAGATCCGACCAGACGGGCTCTTCAAACGTCTCTCCATCACATCACCGCTCACCTCTCTGCCATCCCCCACCACCGCTCAAAAACAAACAGCAAAAAAATTACCAACAACAACAACAAAATGCAAACACCAAGATCTCTGTCGCCACCACCACCATCGCCGCAGCCGGAATACACGGTCGTGTGTTCCAAACACAAACATCTCCATTATCGCCATCCACCTACTCACCCCCCGCCCCCTATCCGCCACAAACAACAAAAAATCGGCCAAAAATGTACCAACAACAACAACGACAACGAATACAAACACCACGATCGGCACCACCAGCACGGCCGCTGCGCCGGCAATCCGTGACCTTATCTGCGACCGCGGCCACTGATCCGTCCCAAACGAGCCACTCCGCAGTGTTCCCGAAAAAAATCCAATTCGCGGCGCCGCGCGTTTGTAAATTCGCCCTGGTAGACGTGACCTTAGCGCGCTCCGAGGCTCCCGCAGACGCGGCGAGGAAACGCTCATTGGGGCAGTGGGGGATGGGGTGGCTAGAGTGGTTTCGAGTGTGGGGGGTGGGGGGGGAGAGAGATCCGTAGTGCTTGTCAAACATGACGAAGTACGTCCATTTGTCAACGACGCCGAGAAATCTCCCAAACTTCACGACGGCGGTGGGCATCGCGAGTCTCCATCAAGCTCGCGGCAAAACGTCGGATCGACATCGGAGCCACGAACCGGGGGGGCCGCTCCCTCTTGCCCCCCTCTCGCCCCCCTCTCGCCCCCCTCTCGCCCCCCTCTCGACGGGCTCCCAAAGCAATTCCGTTCGTCGTCGTCGTCGCAGTCGCAAGCCGCGGCCGCCAGATCGTGATCAATCAAAATGCGATGCAAAAGTTTGTCAAAAGCGGTTTCGGCCGCTGTCACGTTTTTTTATTTTTTTGTCCGCGAGACGGAGAAATGTCATCGTAGGAGCCCGGACCACGACGTCAACGAGCCAAAGTGGCGAAGAAGTGACGTGCCGATGAGAGGGCTCATGCCGCTGGAGAGGACTTTGACTTTGGCACGCGATGAGAGAAGTCTGCAAAGGGGACGGTGTGACCATGTTTGAGACTAATTTAAGCCCACCACCCCCACCTCAAGTCGCTCGCTCTCTCTCTCTCTGTGTCTCTCCGTTTGCCTGTGGATATTGCTCAAGACGGTCGCCGGCGCAGAAAGTGTTGCTGTGATCGTTTTCATTTTTCATTTGCGTCGTTGTTGTGTCGGTTGGGTTGTTTGTTTGTTGTTCGTTTCTGTCACATCGGTGTCATTACTTTCGTCATCCGACCGCATCACGATCCTCGAACGAGAATACGCTAATATTGAGCGGAGCGGTGGCGCAGCGGTTAGCGGCGCTGCCCAACGAACCCGGCCACCCGAGGAGGTGGAAACTCCCTCTCTATCGAGGGACTTTCAAAAGGCGCCCTCCAGAACCCGGCGACCCGAGGTCGGATCCCGACCACGGCTGACACATCAGTGGCGAGCGAATTATCTGAACCGATGCTCATGTACGCCCCCCCCCCCCCCCCCCCGCTTTTACCGATTACATACCTGTGTGGTGAAGTATGGTCGAACAACTACCCATGGGGAGGGGAGGGGTGGGAGGCCTACATCCAGCAGTGGATAGACCAAGGGAGCTGCTCATTACCGTATGCATACAAGTTGAACTTGCAGAGACTTAACAACGCATTTGAGAGTGGGGGGGGGGGTTGGTGGTTCGCGCAAAGAAACACAGCCACGTGTTGCCGCGCACCAGCCACCTCCTGCTACGTGAAGGACAACCAAGTGGTTGCGCCCCTATTGTACACAGTACAGCAAGTAGGCTGCTGACGGTTTCCTCTGTGCACCTACGGTTTTGTGTGTGTGTGTGTTTGTGTTTCTCCCTCGTACGCGTGGATTTTATTTCAGGACAATCTTGGCTCCATCACGCAAGGAAACTAAAAGAATAATAATAATAAAACGACTCCTACACATTTTCAATTGGGGGCGAACATCGCGAATCACGGTCGTCGAGGGGAGGAAGTTCCCACCTCTCCGATGCACTCTCTGTTGTTTTCAATCTCTCTCTCTGTGTGTGTTTCATTTTTTTTGTATTTAAATTGTGCGGTCGCGCTACGCGACGGGCTCTGAGCTGGGCACGCAAGATGTTGCAGTCGAGTCTTTAATCAAACTTTGTCTGCTACCAACTCCCAACGTTTACGAGTTGTTTATCGAGTTATCGGTGCACGACCAGAACCTCACGAAGCACGCCTTGCACGCCATCGGTGGCATTGGAACGCAGC